GCGGGCCCCCGGCTTGGGCAGGCACACGGGCCGGACGTGGGCGCTCAGGGGCACCGGGCGGCGCAGCTGCAGCAGTGCCAGGTCGCCGCGGGCCCCATCCTCGGAGTAGTCGGGGGGCAGCAGCACCCTCCGCAGCGGTGCGGAGAGCGCGTGGGGCGAGGAGAGCCCCAGGTGCAGCGCCCCGAGGCGCACGCGGTACTCGGAGGGGGACGCCCGCCTGCGGAGGGGAGGCTCCTCCTTTGCCTCCTGTGGGGGGGGAGGTCCCCCCAGGGAGGCTTGCCCACCCTGCCCCGCCCCCCCAGCCCGCATCCCTGGGCGCCCTCCCACTGACCTCGGGAAGCAGTGTGCGGCCGTGAGCACCCACTGGGGGGCGACGAGTGAGCCCCCGCACACGTGCTCCCCGCGGTGCTGGATGCTGGCCTGCCACGGCCACTCTCCTTCCCGGGCGTCCTGGCCCCCCACGATCCGGCTGGACGCGTGAGGCTGCCCACAGGCTGCGGGGAGACCCGAGTGCAGGGGGCGTGGGGGCGGGGCTGCGTGGGGGCTGGCCTGGGGCGGGGCTCTCTCACCCGGGGCCCCCAGTGCCAGGCCCGCTCCTGCAGGGGGAAGCAGCAAGGGCAGGATTATGAGTCTGGTGTCGGGTGACCGCAGAGGCGGAGGCGGACACTGCTGACCCGGCACTGGCCCGTGCGGGCAGGGGCACTACCAGAGCAAGGCGAGGGGCTGACAGCCCCTTCGCTGCTGAGACTCCGCGGGGCCCAGCGAGCTGTCGGGGTGCCCGTCCAGTGCGGGGCCAGCCAGAGCAGGCAGACATCTGGGAGCAGGCGCCTGTGGAGGTCACCCCGACACGCCCCCCCAACGCTTCCACTCACCCAGCAGCAGGAGCAGTGGGACCCTCATCCTGCCCTCGGGCTGGCCGGGCGGGGTCCCGGGTGGGCTCTGGTCAGCTGCAGGGAGGGGAGGAGGGTCGCGGCCCGGGACTCTGCCCCACCAGAGGCCCCTCTGTGCTGCCTCAGCCCCTGGTCCCTGGTTCTCCCAGGCCTCAGGGAGCCCCCTGCCCCCCGAAATCCATGGAGCCCGGCCCACGGCCCTCGCCACCTCTGCCTGGCAGCGGCCCGTGCCTTGCCCGCAGGAGCCCTGGCCCCATACTCACCCTCCAGCTGGGTGCACACCCCGCGGGCCGGGGAGCGCCTGGGGCTTAAAGTGCCAGG